GTTGCTAATTCAATACGCTGATCGAAAAACGTTCAGCTAATGCAGTTGTCCAAACCAGTTTGTGTAATTTCAACATAAATTTCTGAAGATTCATGGAATCGTGAACATCAATCAACTCTCCCAATAGATCATATCTAAACGTATTGTGAACGTAAAGCTCCACTCACAGTTAAATGAATCTATTCGAAATGTGATTTATAGTAATTGTAGAACTGAAAGAGTATTGTTGAAATTGTTTGCTTCACAGAGGAACTTCTGATTTATAATCAGCAAATTGAAAAACTGACTTCTATCTGTTGTTGTGCACACCTGATCAATGTAGTATGATGAATGCAGTCCTGTGATTGGAATAGTTGCATTCCTCAAATCATCCCTATCAAACACATACATATGTTCCGTGCTAATCAAGTTCACCTTTTTACGATTCTATTCTCTGAGGCAAATAAATGAACACAGCCACTGAAAATCGCAAAATCGAATGTGTTCTTACCGTATTATGAGCGCAAATTTATAATGATGCTAAGCTAGTTCAGTACCAAATTTCTTTACAAATAAAAGCATATGTTTTCTTATTATACATATACTGAGTTCATTAACTGGTAATTTAATATATATCACTGTGGTTTAATATCAAAATACTAAAACAAACGATGAACAATGCTCGAATTTTCACGATCTTCCTGAATATTCAATAGCTTTTGCAGCATACGACTGTTTCGGTTAGTCACCTTTGTAGAAAAACTTTATGATCAACCGAAAACGGGTGCTTGTTATGATAGGAATGCAGTAATGAATACTCGAAGACAAAGCGTATTTGTATTTTATTACTTGCAAATGCATATGTTTTCTTATTATGCATATATTGAGTTCATTAGCTTCGAGGGTCTACGTGCGATAATTCAGTGAAGCGGCCGGCACAAACGTGTTAAATACTTTGACAAAAAATGTTTTCTCGACTCACAAAAAAATAAAAACTCCAAAGCAATTTTAAAATGTTCTCCATATGTTCAAAAATCCCTTTGAATTTGTTTGTTTTAACAATGCACTTTCGAAAAATAATTATGAGCGTATTTGAGAATAATGAGGAGGAAGATATTGGAAACAATTTTTCCGGCTGTTACAGAATCGTTCAAATATTACTACGGGGCTAAGCACAACTAATTTATCAACTCAATGGACCACTCAGAATTTTTCTTTACTCGCAATACTTTTCAGCGATGAATTTATGATAGTAGTGTGATTGTTTGCTTATTTTGAAAGAGATTTTTGTGCGAAAAAAAGCAGATACAACGATGTTCGAGGAAAAGCAATTGTTTTGATAAAAAACAATCATATTGTATTGTTTTTGTCAACAATAATGACCTGTGAAGATTCCGGGCAAATTTGACTGCTTCAACATTGCAATTTCGAAAGATAGCACTAGCAGTGGTTTTTGCAAAAGACTATTAATCTGATGCTGATGTTAAATAGATGCTCTTTTTGTATTAGACAGCAATATCGTATTGCTTTTATGAGCAACAATAACTTAGACGAATTAATTCGTTGACGCAATCATTGACACACTGTTTCAATTTATTTTATTTGCTCGCAGTTCGCAAGAGATTCTTATAAAAGCAAAGAGAAATGAAGAAGGTAGTTCGTGGTAGTAACAAGTACAGCATGAATGACTGGTGTTCAGCTGAGGGTTGTCGAGTTGTTATCAGATCCACTGAATATTTGATAATTTTGTAAGAGCTTGGCCATACCGACACGAAGACAGCAAGGATGCTAGCAATGGAAATCATCAATTAAGATGCCTCACTGAGAGCGTATGCATGGCTGTCATTATAAATGAATTGTTCATTTTTTGGCCTCGTTTGCGTACGCAGCTAACGATATGAACCATCAGAGTCACTGATCAGCATAAATATTGTTTGATTGATTGAGCCAGTGATCGATCGAGATCAAGAATGAAATGATTCATTAAGGATTATTTTCAGGAGGAACGTTCACTGTTGATCCCACCGTTCACAACAGATTCACAGCCGCTTGAAATTCAACATGACTGCACTTACAATATTGTTATGCATTCCAGACCATATCCCTACGGTGATTCTGAATATTCACCGACGTTCACGTATACGGTACCAAACTGTGTCGATGGATACTGTAGTTGCAGAAGTTGGTTTTCATTCATTTTGAAGCGAATTTCAGCGGGACTTTCAGTTTCGTTTGTTCAAACTTACAAGAAATCAGAACCTAATAAATGTCAGAGCAACGGAAAATAATTTTGTGCAACGTTCAACTGAGAATGTCCCGAGTGTGAAAATCTCGTTTCGCCGTGCGTCCAGTTTACCACTCGGATGTCAAGAAGTACCCTATGCTTTCCGAGGAGAACCCCATAAAATTGCCTAGCGGTTTCTAGCATCCATATTGATAGTAGAGTAGTAGTTCCCGGCAATCACAGAAACGCAGACTCTATCAGAGTCAAAGA